ACATACATGTACATACATGTACATACATATACATGCATGTACATACATGTACATACATGTACATACATGTACATGCATGTACATACATGTACATACATGTACATACATGTATATGCATGTACATACATGTACATACATGTACATACATGCACTGTAATATAAGCACTTTTACAACAAGTTGGCAGTAATATCCAGATTTTCCATTTTCCCTGACCTCTCAGTTAGCATAATTTTCTTTTGGCAACTTTGTTCTATAGTTCCTTAGTATGCTTTTCATTTCTAGGAATTTCAATTAATAGCAGCCGTGACATCCTATTTGAAACCTAAATTGAACAGCTGCCTTAGTGTTCAGCATGATACAGGGAAAGCCTTCAGGAAAACAGAAATACTATTATGGAGGAAGCATTAAACATTATCAAAGCAATAAAGAAGTCTCCTTACTTACATATATATCAATAATCCTTCTTTGGATTGAAAAACAAAAACAAGAAATATTACATTATTTATTCTCATAAATATTAAAGAATACAAAGTATAACCATAAACCTGACTGTTTTTTGGTTTGTACAATCATGGAAATTAAATAGGAAAATGCATCATCAGGAAATTCATGAAAATCAATGTAATTTTGGTTGGTTTCTCCCTCTTTCTTGAGCTTCTTACTCAATTATCATTGGTGAAATCCTGAGGCTGCAACAGCTGCCTTGCTTCAAGTAATTTATTCTGTCAAGGACCCTGTAAACGTCTTGACTAATTCCTTCACAGACTGTATTGTAACACAAGCCTCCTTTTTTTCCTTTGCGGTGTTGATTTGTTCATATGCTTTTTCCACTTTCAGTTGGTGAAGCTCTCTTTGCCTTCTCCTTTCCTCTTCCTTGTAGTAGAAGAATGAGATGTAGATGAAGAAAGGTTAGGAATAGAAGCAGGACAAGATGCAGACAAAAGAGGATGAGATGCAGATGTCAAAGAGCAAGAAGTAAAAGAAGAAGAGCACGTCAATGGTATAGACTTTGGAGACAGGAGTGGGGACAGAAAGAGACAAAGGAACACGGCTTGTAGAAGGCACTGTTTTTGAAGGTTATGTAAGCAAAGGGATAGAAATAATAGAGGCAACAACTGTAGTTGATAATGGTGCAGGAAGACACTGAGAAGAGGTAACAGAACCTGAAGGGAGATCAAGAACTTCCACCAGCTCTGCATCTTCCACACTGCAAGCCATAACGTCTGTAATGATAAACATCTTTGTTATATATCCGCCAATGTGTTATTGCATTATTCCATTTTTCACATAATATACATATACATATACATATACATATATATAAATAAATATATATATAAATATATATATATGTATGTATAAAGACACACACACACACACACACACACACACACACACACACACACACACACACACACACACACACACACACACACACACACACACACACACACACACACACACTCTGTTTATGTTTCAAAAAGCTAATCTGCATGTAAGGGCTATAAGGCTGGCATCAGTGGTGCATCGCTAACTGCCCCATACCGTTTCAGGTGGGCAGCCTCAGCCTCCTTTACCCTATAACTTACTTATCATTTTTCTGGTCATCTGGTTGTTTAGAGTATTTATAGAATGTTGCCCAAATACTTAGAAAAGTTCATAATAAATTCATTACATTTCAACAAAATTATATAAATAATGTTATTATCACCATAACACTACAAATTCAAAAAGCAATGCAGAAACAGCATGTATGTGTGTCTATGCACAGTACATATGTGCTAGTGTTCGTGTATATATATTCAAGTGATGCTTACTTTCTACAGATGTACTTCCAGGCTCTCTTGCCCCAGATTGTTAGCATTGAAGAGTGAGGCTATATTTGCCCATTTGTGTGATCTTCTGGCAAGGAATATTGGTTCATTTTTTCCCCTTGAAGAGTATTCCTTCTCGTTCTTTAATCAGAGTGACCAGTTGGAGTAACTGGTCAGGTGATAATGAAGAACTCTGGAAAAATAAGTCAACATCACTGACTCAGTTGTTGGGATCCAATTTCCCTGTAAAAAGATTCTTAAACATAATCTACATGCTATAATCACTATCCTTTTTATAAGTATCAAAATTGAGATAAAATCTTTTATACTAGTTTTCATTGATGTAAGGGGTACATTCAGTAAAGATGCCTAAAAACTGTTACATATTATGGATCCCTATTTTCAAAATTTCACAAGATGATAATGCCATGAGACTGGACATGAGCCAGGCATCAAGAGCCAGCAGTTGGAGTGCAAGCATTATATACGTACACATACACATACAGTTACGAACAGTGGAACGTCAAAAGACAACCTTCTTGTAAATACAATATAATATAACTTCTTTAGTCCATTGCACCAAATTTCTGCATTTAGAATACTCAAACTGAAAAAAGTTTAAGTTTACTATAAATACCTAACTGAAAAAGATGAGTATACAAACTTTCAAATGTGAATATTTTGTTTTGCATTCCTTCTAGCCAGTGTTAGCTTGCAGTGATTAGTAAATGTGTGCTTCATTTTATTCAGGAAGACAGTGATCAGGGCATATAAAGGACACTTTTTGAGTAAGAGTGTAATGAAAATGAACACTTTGGATGCCTTTATCATAAATATAGCACTGAAAAACTATTGCTGCCATACATCTAAAACTACTGCCCTTCTGAGTAAAATGAGACCTGTGCCATGTTTATCACACAAAAATTTCAACCTATGGGGAGCCTCTCATTTTGGAGAGATGACTTGCCTCATTTTACTCAAGAAGCCTGAGGTAAAGATGTGTCCATAACACTTTTTTTCTATTTCATTCTAGTATATCTATATCTAAATACTTCACACAGTATATATTTATCTAACTAGTCATCAATATATCTATAAACCCATCTTTTATTTAGTAAAAAATTAAATGATTTTGACTCGGGAAAAACTGTTATAGCATATATATCTGGTAAGCACATATATACAAAAATTAATACTTACTTTTTCTATTATTCCCATTCAATAACAGAATTTAAAGTTTTCAATGGGCCAATCAACATTGTCCTTTGCATCCTTTGGTCATTACTTTAAAGGAAGGAAATGCTCTACATTCCCTAGTGACTATACAGACAATATTTGTTCACCTAATATGGGAACAGATTTAGCTTCAACTGATGAAAAGAGCAAAGTCTGCACTTTATTTGCATGAGTGTGGAGGAAATTTCAAGAATTACAAGTAAAATAACTCTCTAAAATAACATTTTTGCTAGCCAGTCATGATAATTGTGTGTCAGATAAAAAGAACTAAAAATTCCCTTTGTGCCAATGAAAATTCATAGCAGCTAGATTTTGTGCACATGTTTTTTTTCACATATTGAAGTTCAAATTCTCCATGGTCAAAGTGGAGAATATTACCCTTGAATCCATGAATCCTTTCCAGAGGTCCCTCAAGGCAATTCACCCGGCAGGGACCCTGCCCACTCAACTTCCTCACAACAAATATGACCTATCTGTCCAAGTCACAACTTCTTGGTAATCCCACAAGACTCTTCCATGCAGGACTGTCTTCATACAGCCTGAGTTTGTATACTGGAATATGCAAGTAAAAAGTCTAACGGGTCTCACCTTGCAATTGTTGGTTGGATATTTGATTTTGTTAACTGTATCCTTTGATACAACATAATTACTTGTTTCAAGAGGTATAAAGTTTCCAAGGTACAAGATCATGTCCAGATTTTGAAGAAATTCTGGAAATATCAGGACCTTGAAGATGCATAGCTAGTACCTTCTGCAATGGTACAAGCATTTCCAGATACTATTATTGAGAAAAGGTAGATATCTATGAGAAGGGTTTTGTGTCCAGCTTTCTCAGAATTTGATTGGCAGAGTAGAAGGCATTTACTAAGAAATGGTAATTGACATCCACTGCAAAATTCCTAATATACTATTCTTTGTCCCTCAAAAGCAACATCCAAATCTTGCACACCAGGGACTGACACAGCCCCAACCTCCAACCTGTTGTTCCTAGCACCGAGAATATGAAGACCTGCCTCATTATTGGGCAGTCACCAACAGATCTTGGGCTACATTGAGCTTTTCAGGTCTGAAGATGTCCAACAGCAATATATGGTTCAACAGGCTGTTCAGCATTGTAAATCAATCAAATACATCCACACTCCTCTTCTCTCAATCTGACACAGAGAGAGAGAGAGAGAGAGAGAGAGAGAGAGAGAGAGAGAGAGAGAGAGAGAGAGAGAGAGAGAGAGAGAGAGAGAGAGAGAGAGAGAGAGAGAGAGAGAGAGAGAGAGATTGGTATTGCTAATAACCTTTAAATAATAATAATAATAATAATAATAATAATAATAATAATAATAATAATATTTAAATTAAAAAACATATACTTGGAATGGGGAAATTAGGTGAGGTTAGTTAGGCCTAATAAGTTATTCCTTGGTAATAAGAACTTGTGGAACCATTTATGTGTAAAACTGATGGGACAAAAGTGGACAGTGCATGGGTCAAAAGAAAAATTCTTTTACACACCTTATCAGTAAAAGGCTTTCCTGGACCGTGAAGTTTGGCATGTGACATCAGTTCACATTCCTTAAGAAATGTTTCACTGCACTTCCTACAATGCAGACGCTCTCCTTCCTCATGCTTTTCCTTCATATGAACATCCAAGTCACACTAGGTGGCAAACACATTCTTACACTGTTTTCACTGAAAAGTTAATAAAGGATCAACGATAACCAGAAGTTCCTCATCACATGAACATTCCTCTTTAACTGTGATATCTTCCTCTTCCTTCGATTCAAGGAGTGTGTATCCATTTCTTCTCTCTCTCCCCCCCATGCTACAGTCGTCAGTGGGTGACACTTCACTCTCCTCCTTGACAGGTAATCCATTCACCATCTCAGGGGAGCTTGCATCACACATTATGGTGGCTGGTCTTTTTGTCAAAGAACAATCTGGCATTCAATTTCTGAAATGGATAATACAAAGAATAAATATCTTGCAACAATATACATGCACAAATATACCTACATAAATAAATAACAATATCTATCTATCTATCTATTTATCTATCTATCTCTCTTTCTCTTTCTTTTTCTCTCTCTCTCTCTTTCTCTAAATATATATATATATATATATATATATATATATATATATATATATATATATATATATATATATATATATATATATATATATATATATATATTCTATATATATAAATATTATATTACATATAAATATACATAAATATACATACACACACACATATATATATATATATATATATATATATATATATATATATATATATATATATATATATATATATATATATCATAAATATTTATATATTATATATACTATATATATACATATATTTACATATATGCACATATGTATATGTATAAATGTATATAAATACATATATATACATTTATGTATATACATACATACATATGCTTATATGTATATATATGTATATAAATATACATACATACATATATGTATATTTATATATATATATAAATGTAGATATAGAATCCACCATGTATGTACGACAGGATAGACTATAGGACAGACTCTGCATAGGGTGTTCTGTTTATTATATGTGTCATATATTGATATAGCCCACCCCAAAACCCATTGGTATAGGAATGTAGACTGAGTAGCAGTATAATAACCTGTGATATAGTCAGTATCATATACTGACCAAAATGTGGGGTAATCTGGATCACCATCTATCATGCTAGTAAACTAGCATTCCTAAACTGTATCCTGCCATGTTTACTCCACTGGTTATATACTTTATCCTGTTGTGAGTACATGAATAATTGTCTTTCAGGGTTGGGACCCGGGGGCAGCAGCCTTCAGGGTGGGTCACAGGGCATACAGCACCCTGCACTAGAAAAAATAGTGATTTATTCTGCGTGCTTAACCTTTAAAATATGGGCATACTAAGCTTGGGGCAGAGCCCCCCATAACCCATCTCTCAGTCACTACCCATTTGACAGACAGTCATGGTAATTTTGGTTGCTGAATAAAGATTGTGACGTGGAGTTGGGGACACAATCTCTGATGAAAGTATCCATACTGTAACAAATTACAAATCTGTGTATAGTGATATATTTGGGGTATGTTAGTCATAGTTTACTCCACAATTTCCCGGGTATCTTTAATGCTCTCCCCTTCTATCAGGGCCAAGAATGTGGAGTATGGGGGACTTCCAAGGCAAATGCACTACTCACATGGGTAATAGTTTGTGAGAGGAAACCATCAATACCACTATCATTGTGATCAGTTGTATGAAGGTCTTGTGAACATTTAACTTCTTACTTATATCATTTGCAACAGAAAACAACCAGAGGCTGGAGCATAATACATCATGAGTTAATCTTTACGGTATGGACATACTAATCTTGGGAAAATTGAAGATAATATTCTTGTAAAGGTCAAGAATGGTAAAGTCGCAAATAAAGAAAATCGCAAATAAAGAAAATCACAAATAAAGGAAAAAGATCTCAGAAAGTGCCACTTATAGCCTAGCTCCATTCAATCCTCTCAAGTTTCAACTCGTATTTTGCTGTGTATACTGAGGTGAAGACAATGTTTCCCGGGGGAGTGTTGGGGGTAGAGCCTCCCCATCAACCCTAAGCTCTGGCAGTGCTCAAATGGTACAACCAGTCAGAGTAACTTAGACTATTCAATAAATTCTATGATGTGAAGTTGGGGAATTTGTCTCATGTAAGTGAATCTGTACTGTAAAGAATTTCCACACCATGCAAAACTAACAAATTATTTAAAATATACACCAAGACACAGCGGCACTTTTGAAAACTACGGAAGTGATAAAAAACAGCCGCAAGGAATGTGCACTGTAAAGGAATAAAACAAACAAACAACTATGTATAAGTGCATTGCATTCAACTTAAAAGCTTGAAAAAGCAGTAAAGATAAAAAACATGCACCAAGATTTTTCCACTTCATTACGCCAATACGCCAAGGAATATAAATTAGGCTAAATCCATGCCGCCACGCCGACAGGAAAGCTAACTCCACACCGGAGATCTTTGGGTCTAAGTGCACGAAATGCACCCTGGATATTTTGCCCCTCATTTTCAGTGGTACCACTCATACCCTGCCCTGCAAAAAGGAGCAAGGTTGTGGGTATTGGGGGGGGGGGGGTCTCAGAATCATTATCAAATATATTATTAACAGTAAGCGAGAGGAATCCATCGATACCACTATTATTATACTAGGTATTCTGAACATTTAACGATAAAATTACTAAATACAGGAAACAGCTATCACCTGATGTGATCCTAATCTAGAAAATTACCTTGATGACAGTTTCATCCATTATGTGCATAATAATACCATACAGTCTACCTCCTTAATCCAAGGATAAACCCAATTCTGTCAGTGTTATTTCCGGCATCTACAGCTTTTGTAATTTCTAAACCCTGGAGCCCATCAGCATTTCCTAAACACCATGCCAAATATAAACTAATTATGAACTTACAACGTTTTGTTAATTGTTTCAATCTCATCCCTTTTTCCTCATTACTAGTTTCACCTCTACACGTTTTCTCGCCACAGTGATACCATCTCGTCCATTCCCTTCTTCACTATTTCCTGGGGTTTCAGACTGTAGGGGGAAGGCTCCCTGGACGCTTTGGTTACAATTCACGGGGTTGGAGCACCAGGCATTCTGCATTCTTCTCTTTGGGGGTTTTAGACAGCGAATAGTCTACATTCCCTGAATCCCCTCTCTCTTTCTTTTTCTCTTTTGTCTGCAAAAGATAATATAAAAGACGAGCTGTACTTCCAGTGTTTAACGCATACCCTATGCACCTCTATAGCGGCGAGCGTCACTCTCCCTTTCGCACTGTGGGTGACCTTCCTGCATAGGTCTATAGACTACGGTATAGTCTAAAACCCTAAAATGAAGGAAAGAGGGAGAGGAAGATGACCTGACAAGACTAAAGATTATATGTGAAAAGAGGGCAGAGATGTTTTTATTTTTTAATCTAATGTATTTATATTTGCTGACCTCCAGTCGAGTATTAAAGGGTATGGTAATGTCGTACTGCATTTTTTTTTCTCTGTCAGAAGTCTTTCTAAAGTTTGACAAGTTTCTTGTGGTTAAAGGCACATAAGTTTTCACTTTTGCAATGCAGTTTAAGGTATGGAGGGCACTGCTGACCTAACTGAACTGATGCTGTACAAATTCCGCCGCCCTCTGACCTCTACGCCTAACAATCTGTGTAGTCTCATATGCCAGAAAGTTAAAAACATTCCAGAGTTACTATAATGATTAAGTTCCTATTCTTCAATTTGTTAATATTAATGGGTGGTTGTTGTCAAATTCTCAACGATATCCAATAATTTCTTGACGTTTAAATTGTCTTTTTACGCCAGGAAGGGACAGGCACCTCAGTGTAACGGAAATGCGTCAATCAAACAGAGGCTTCAGTTTTTATTATCCACTTCGATGGATCCAATTTATAATGTTTAATAGAAACATCGCGAATAACTAGGCATCATAAATAAATCACTAAATCAGATATTCAATAGTGAATTTCAATATGTGGCTGTTACTGACTTGCAACATTGTTAAATCATGATGCGAGAGAAAATATTTACTATAAGTACATTACGGACGCAGATTTTATGTTTTGAACAGAAAGAAGGGTAAGTTTTCTCATGACCCAGAAAATAATATGTGAAAGAAAACGAATTAGATAATTCAACCGCATTATTTAAGTAGTTCCTCGCTCCTCATTTCTTATGTGATGTTTTATGTGTTTTTTCTTATGCAAATATTTCATGTAAAGAATGATTTTATACAATTGTGTAAAGCAACAATTCACAACCTTTACTCCATGCAGGAACTCTTGAAGTAATTATTCATGTCTCCCGTAACTGCATAGTGTACCTATATATCTCTCTATTCACACACGCGCGCGCACACACACATGCAAGCACACACACACACAAACACACACGCATGCACGCACACACACACACACACACACACACACACACACACACACACACACACACACACACACACACACACACACACACACACACACAATAATAATAATAATTAATTGATAACATCCGGTAAAAATATAATCTATGGGCATGAAAATCTGATAACATCCGGTAAAAATATAATTTATGTGCTTGAAAATCTACCTCTATCTCTCAGGAAAATTCACATTGCAAATTATGGGCAATTTAAACGCATTTTTAAAGTAGGGCCTCGCTCTTCGTTTCGTATGTGATTTTTGATGGATTCTGTCTTTTGCAGATATTTCATTTAAAGAATGACTTTATACAGTTGTGTAAAGCATCCATTTACATCCTTCACTCCATGGAGGAACTCTTGAAACAGTTATTCATGTCTCGGGGAATCCACAACTACATGGTGTACCTATCTACTTGTCTATCTACACACATATTAAAATTATATTAGAAAGTACTGGAAGGTATACATTCTGTATGATGCTCTGGTTTCATTCTCAACCTCTCTGTTTTCTTTACATTTATAAATGATTTTATGATTCCTTGTAGAACCCCTGCCGATGGCCTGAAGAACCTGATGTACCATGTAGGCATATCACTGAAGAATCATCCGCTGTTTGGCAGGAAAGAAAGCCGTGGTTTGGCAAGGCATCAAGCGTCTCTGCCATGAACGTTGGTAACATATACTTCTTGATACACTTTACTGAAGCTTTTCAACACATACAAGGACAATTAACGTTCGCACTGAATTCCACGACTAGGTTGCTCTGCATTACAGGAGATTCATCACTACTCTTACTCAGCGTAGTAATGTGGTCTGTGCCAACGTAGGAAATGTGCCTAGTAACCCCTAAAGCAGTAGGTGAATGTAGTTAGGTCTTTGATAACATTTTATGGCTGCTGACAGTTGTATTCAGTATATGAGTCAAATATTCCATAGAAAAGATGAAAACACGTCCTGCAGCGAGGAAGACCCTTTGGCATACACCTGTTAAGCTAACCCCTAAATGGTAGGACGAATGTGTTCTTTACGTTACCCATAATACAGCCCTACATAGGAATATTAGGAACCAATAGCACAGCCTTACAGTCTCCTCACCCAGTTGTACAGTCAGTAGAGTTTCCAAAGGCACATACAGGAGACATGCCAAAGTGTGTGGTGCTTCCCACTTTGTACAAATATAATTAAGCAGCTGTGTTAGGAATCGGTTCCTCAACCTAGGCCATGTTAAGGCTACAGCAAGAAACTATTTAGCTTTGGCCCACAGGTCCTTATGAAATGCTCGATTCACACTTGGGTTCAGCCTCCTAATTTTCGAAATACCCCGCTGATCCGAAAGTGAAGATCGTCTTTACTAACCTAATGAAACCACTATATTTATGAGGAATTGCGTCTCCCTGTGCATCCAGATAAAGTCTTGGCAGTGGACCACCAGCTGATTCTTGGGACGGATCCTGAGGCGATTCCTGAGAGACACTTAATAAGGCCAGACGAAGAATTATGCTACTAATTCCAGTCAATCTGTATTCTCTGCTGGATGTGTATCCTCACTGACAAAGTTGTTTTATGCAGAAGCGAGGGAAGAGAAAAATGGTAAGAGCAAAACTTTGAGCAAAATATGTTTAGGATTACGATGACTAAAAATACTTATCTGATAATTATATATGTAGTTTGGTACTATTTTATATCCTATTTTATTTTATACTGCACATCTTTCAAATCTGGTTTGACAACGACGGCGATAACTGTTGATGGCGTGTGTGTGTGTTTACGTATGTCTGTTTACCTATCCACTCGTGTCCTCAGAAATGAAAATTGAAAATAAATACATTCGAAACAAACAAACAACAAGAACGGATGCCAATAATATGAATAAATTCTGTTTACCGGTTGGAGAAAAAATAAAACAAACTACTAAATACTTTTATTTGCAGCCTCGTTTTCCTTCTGAACTTACGTACCTACTCTTCTAAACCTCACTTCATCCTTGACGCAAGTTCTGCGACTTTAGCTAACAACTCTGCCTAATTGGATAAGTTTGCTCGTGTTCGGTAAGGTAAACCACAATGCACTCTAAACTTTTCATACTTAAACTTTGAGAAATCCTTGATCGACAAATTTCTGCATATAATTGACGGATACTGGATATTATCTTGACGATCTATTACCAGAGTTACATACATCGTTAGCTGGAGCGGCAAGCACAGATGGAACACGAAAGCCTCTCCGCTTTGATTACGGATTGCTGAAGATTACATCCAAATACGAGTCATGTTTGCCAAATTTTCTCTCCTTTCGACGAAGCGAAAAAATTGTAAAGGAGAAATGGAGACAAAATATCTCGCTCGACATTTATTATGATTCCCAAAACATATAAATTCAGTTCAGAAAATAGTACTGTGATTACAAATGTAAGAAGTTTCACAAATTTCTAAACACATATCAAGTTCATATTTTTCATCAGTTTTTTTTTTTTTTTTTTTTTTTTTTACAAACTTCTATGCTTGATTCAAATTACAAAATAACAATCAAGATCAACAAGTGGTATTTATCTCCTCAAAGAACATATGATAGACAGACATAGATAACTTCTAAAACACCCAGTGCCTATAGCTACAAGAAACTGATTTATATCAGTAAAAATATTTCATAACAAATTAAAAACGTTTAGTTTTATTAATTCATATTCGATCGACCTCGCATTCCATGAAAAAAATCCAAAATTCCATATTCACTTCACTGACAATTTGACTTTCACTTTGTATACGAATCGATATCAAATAAAATGCAACATTCTTTTGTGTCTGTGTGTGACATTCTTAAAATGAACCAATACCCTGATAACGTGCATCAAGAAATTTTCAATACAAAAAGTCTATTTATTAAACAATCCAAGTATATATTCTATTCCTTTATCTCTTTAACAAGGAATCTCCCCAAAAGTAAACAAAAAAAAGCCGAGGAGTAGTTTTGGCGACAAAATCGAATTATTTCTCCGATTTCTCCAACTCTTTCATGTCCTTCTTCAGTTTTGCGAGAGCGGCGAGGCGAGTATCTCTCCACTGCCGCCGTTTCTGAAAAAAAAATGTATGAAAATACAAGTGTAATGATAGTATTGGGAGTTGTAGCCGTGTTTAGGGGAAAATGATAATAGCAAAAGGAAATCATAAAAAAACAGTAATCAACAATAACGACAATTATAATAACGGCGATGATAACAATTAAAATATTCCACGGAATGAATAATAATCAATATCTTATAACAAAATGAACAATAACACTAATACTAGTCCTACCTCCAGCTGATCTTCGGGCACCATCTGGTTCATCTGCTCAATGAGACTACCCGAGGCCTCATGAGTCCAGGCGGGGATGCCCAGGAAGGTGTTGGACACACTCACCATGGTCGGCCCGTACTTGCTGAGGTATTCGTCCATGC